AAAAAAATCGTCACCCTCTCGGTTTCGAGTAAGACAGTAACATCACTTCATCGGGTCAACTGATCTACACAAAACCCGAGTTTACTACTACTACTTCTTTCGTAGTAACCTCTGGTCTCGTTCATCCTCCGCGCTTCGTTCGTTGAAGTTTACAAATTTCTTCGTGATTCAAGTGACCTTCCCTAGGACTTGTACTCATGGGCAGTCTTAGAATGAACACCGTAAACCATTTAGAGTAGATTCTCGTTTTGGGACGATGAATCTTATGGGTAGTTTGTAGACTTCATTCCTTCATCCACTCTGTCACAATTCAGATAAACTGTTTACCGTGCCCTCTAACATCTTATGACCCCACTTAATACTATTCCCCCTGTTTCCCCCGGTCAACCAAGAACTCGGAGCATTCCAGCCAACCTTTGGCAGAATATCTAGAAGACAATCTAGCTGAGCGACTTTGGATTCAGCTGTGCGATCTCGGAGTGGTGTTGCGTACCGAACTGAATCGCTTTAGTCGCGATGCTGTCCGTCTGATCGATACAGTGAGTGCTGCATAGGTCCTCATTCATTTCTACTGTGTTGCTTGGATGGTTGCATAAAGTTCTTATGTAGTGGTCATTTAATAGTTGTTTATTTTTGCTTCTTGTTCAGCTAGTTCTAATCTTTTTTATGTATCGCTGTTCCACAGGAACTACCACTATTGAATTTGTGGGAACATGATTACTGTGTGCAGCACATAAACGAGAGATTCAGTTGAGTCTCTCGTGAAAATAAGTGTATTTCTCGAAAACAGTTCAATTTGGGTTCGTGTAGAACATAAGATTGACGGAAATTCGGGGACTGCGCCTACCTGATGAGCCCCAAGAAGGGCGAAACCGGTCGTGGGCTGTCGAAGAGCTCTCAGCAACCTTGCGAGTAGTTTCCTTTTATGAGTGCATGATAACTGTTTGATTGGTTCCCTTCACTGTCCACTTCTGAATGTGATTGGGTTGGGACGCATTATGATTGCTCGTCCCCAGCCGCGCATAGTATAGTTGGCCCGTGAAAGTCAACCATCCCAGTTCATACCAGCCGAGACTATGTATTTAACGGCCTCATCAGTGGTGCCTCTCCCCAGGCATAATATATTTTTCCAACCTTTGATCCACTGTATTTACCATAGGCTGAAGAATTCTGGTGCGTGAACTTCAGCACACCATCGTTGCTGAGAGCACCGAAAACTCAGACAATTGGTTTGCCAGTCAAAGAGAAGTGATTAGTATGTGTATGTGGGGGGCGGGGGGGGGGGGGGGGNCCTCCTGTCCTACATGCTCCTGTATAGCTCTAACAGGTGGCTTTCTTGTACTTTGAGTTGTCAACTCGGAACCTGAGTTGCGTTAGGGTCCGTTGAATGTCTTTAATTCGCCAGGTTTGCTGCTCCGTTATTATTGATCCGTTGCCTTCTTACCTAATTGCTTGATTTCCCTCCACTCGATTTTTCTGATTGGATGACCTTCCGTGTTTTGTAGTTTCTTTTCTTTGGTCCGATTAATCCGCTGGTTATTGTTCTACTATTTGGTTTCCCCTTTGATTGGAGTCCAGTAGCTGGAGAATTACTTTGTTCGTAGGATTATGGATTGAAACAAGTGATATCCAGTAATGTTTCCTGCTGTAAAGCTTGTGTTCCATTATTCTGGTGACAAGCCTTGCAGCATGACCGACATAATGTTTTTTGTAGCAGTCATCACGTCGAAGTCTGTAGACTTTTGGTTTCGGATCGATCCTTCTCAATGTGTCTACTGCCCTGAAGACGGTCTATTCTCTGTCGTAGGTGTCTAACAGTCACTTTGGCGATCATGTGAAATTCCTTGGATAGTCATTAGATTTTGGCCTGTCTGATAAAGGCGATCAACAGGCCGAAAACCAAGCAGTTCAAGCTACCTGTATTCCACAAAATCACCAAATGACCACTACCACAAAGGACAGCTCTTCTGAATTTTTCATTGAATGGATGCATTCACATCTATGGTATTTACTCGTAAGTTCTATCTGCACTCCATGGAAACTTTGTTTTCTCATGCTTACCACCTTTTGTCCATAGACTAACTGGAACTCCTCAACAGTTTCAACGACTTCCTTCACAAGGGATCCAACATCTCCGAATAGCGTTCGAGATGTGGAGCTTATCGCCCTCCTTATCACAGGCTATTTACGATGGATAGTTTTGTATTATAAAACACATCGTGAAGGTATCCTGGTGCAACACGTTGGCGAGGAACGTGTGAAACTATTGAGCCAATTGCAGCAACGTCTGGTGAAAGAATCTTTGAACCCCGCCATGGAAACCCTGTGTACATTGTTGTAAGTAAATCGATTGGTGTATACACCTAAATCCCTCTCGGACTTCTCCATCCCAGGTGGTTCTTCCAAGGATGGAGAACCACACAACGTGTGATACTGGTTTCTGCTGTTTGGAAAACATCAACGCGCGTTTCGATCCAGATGTAATCTTGATTTACAGCGGAAATTTGATTTCACCCCACATTTTGTCATTTTGAGTGGAGCGGTAACCACCCTTGAAACGAAGCTGGTTGACGAATCATTGGCACCTTGTTCTGTATAAACCGGAACACCGATTTGAGAAGGCGATTCGCGGATAATGATACTAATTTGTATACTGTTATCAACCACAATCTTACAACAGACTGGTTTTAAGCGAACTTGCTGTTCCAAGGAACATGATCGAGCTACAGCGAAAGCCGTTTGCTCTTGTTACAGTGAATTTCACTGAAATGCTTTTTACTTACAATGAAATGGCCTGCTGAAAGGGACGTACTGTAGGGTTTTGGAATGCACTACTTTTTCACGAAAACGCGTGCAGCATATAGCGTATCGTGGGTGAAGTTGACCAGTATAGTTGAGCCCGACGTGAGTTATGAAGTCACTGGTTATACGGGTCTTAAAACCTGGAGCTGTTATTAGGAAGGGTGTTAGTATGTCAGGGCCAGTTATCGCTTTTAAAGCGGACGTCCAAAGAGCTACCAGCGCGTAATACAGTGTCGCTGACAGACTAATTCTCAAACATTAGAGTGGGCAGTTTGTATCCTTAACCCAGTTAGGGACAAGTGCTCTTTCGGACCCGGCTATACCTGAGTACTTTTATTAATGGGCCGTATTTGAATTCTGTGAATAAAGGTATGCCAGTCTGTTCAGTAGTTGACAAACATAAGTTTGAGGTTTTTCTAGCAGTGTTCCTGTCAAGTACTGTCACCGGCACATTTTCATCACGTGACACACTTGAAATGTCCAGCGTTTGCACAGCTAGTCTGTCACAAACTCACGCTTTCCCGTCTAACTTTAGTCGGATAATGTCAAATCGTCGACCTGGTTCTACACCCAGACCATCATCGAGTTAGTTACNAGTTGACCAGTATAGTTGAGCCCGACGGGAGTTATGAAGTCACTGGTTATACGGGTCTTAAAACCTGGAGCTGTTATTAGGAAGGGTGTTAGTATGTCAGGGCCAGTTATCGCTTTTAAAGCGGACGTCCAAAGAGCTACCAGCGCGTAATACAGTGTCGCTGAGAGACTAATTCTCAAACATTAGAGCGGGCAGTTTGTATCCTTAACCCAGTTAGGGACAAGTGCTCTTTCGGACCCGGCTATACCTGAGTACTTTTATTAATGGGCCGTATTTGAATTCTGTGAATAAAGGTATGCCAGTCTGTTCAGTAGTTGACAAACATAAGTTTGAGGTTTTTCTAGCAGTGTTCCTGTCAAGTACTGTCACCGGCACATTTTCATCACGTGACACACTTGAAATGTCCAGCGTTTGCACAGCTAGTCTGTCACAAACTCACGCTTTCCCGTCTAACTTTAGTCGGATAATGTCAAATCGTCGACCTGGTTCTACACCCAGACCATCATCGAGTTACCATTCACTGTTTGAAACCCCCGAAGGGTTGAGTGCGTCTTTCCTCGCAACTGCCCCATTGTTCTCACTCGACGCTTGCCCATGTTGGAGTATTGAGACAAATAAACGTAGATTAGGTTGTCGGTTCACCGACAAGATCAACTCCGCTAGTGTCGAACGTTTTCAACTAAATTGCCCTGCACTAAACAAACTGTCGACACTATTGGAACAGAAAATGTTGATTGAAAAACGCTCCTTCTCCCTTCAACACAGGCACATCTATTTCTCCAATGATGCATCCACAGACATTCGGTATAACAGGCTAATCGGTCATAGCCTTTCGTCTTTGGCCTCGTTATTCACCCTGTTCCCCGGTCTACCACTGGTTCCCGTCACGTCGTTTTCCCGATCTGATCGAACTTTGTTCAATGTGATTTTACACTGGATTGCATCAACTCTTCGTGACCGACCTGATCACCGCTGGAATTCTCAGTCGAACACTTTGGTTGCAACGTTGGTGATATTAAACAGCATGTTGCTTTTGGAGCCAAAACAGTCTGACTATTTAGTAAACGTTAGGCAGGAACTACTGAGTGCAACCGACCTCGGGGATCGTTTACTAAGTGCTGTCCCACAAACAAAAACGAAACTTTCTGGTGAGTTTTTCACTTGTCTGTATCGTTTTCCTCGGACTCATTAACTGCCTTTCTTTGCACAAAACAGACAAAGCATTTGTGCCATAATGCTCCTGACATATCATGTAGTCGTTAAACGCCGTCGCACAGTTATGATTGATCTTTCCTAAGGTGCATCCCTGGTCCAATTTGCTTCCTCAACAATGTATTCACGATACAGTAAAATTCGGCCCCACACAACTAAGGGTGAAGATGAGCGAAAACAAAATGCATGCTTTCCGGGAAGGATATTGGACCCTATCTTATTGGGAAAGGTCATTCATTCATGCATCTAAAAAATCGTTACTTTTAGAATGTTTTTTCATTATTTGGGTTGATCCGTTGGACATAAATAATGGGAATTTAGTGTTGTCTCCGAAAGACTAGGAGATGTCGAAATAGCTCGGTGGCTAAGGCGCGGACTTATTGATCGTGGTTCAGCCTCCGCATCTCAACTGCTCCTATCTTGGCTTGGGCAACCTAGAAGTGTCCCACTCCTCGTGCTTCCTTCGGGCGGCTTAGCAGGTATGCACCGAAAGGGCGTTGCAGCTGGACGAACGGAGTTGCGGACCCCGTCGTCCACTGTTTGGGCATAAGCAATATTTACAGGGCTGGGAAGAACCTAGTGATGATAGTTAGTTCTTTGAAAAAAAACTGATATGATGTTTACACATCAACTCAGTTCTTGGTCTGATCCTTCCAAACTAGCGAATTTCCAGGGTAAGAAGTTTGTTGAGTGTCCCGAGCTGTAAAAAACCACATACAGCTTTTCTTTTTGAAGGGTTACTTATTGGTGACATTTTGGAGGTTCAAATTCTCTCTGGACGCGCCATTGGCAACTTCCCATCCAAAGACGTACGCCGAGGATAATTCTGAAACCATGTTTTTTCGACAATGATACTTCCGAAAATATTGCATCTATTCCGACTACCTTCCAACGGCATTTTGCCGCCCGCGGTTTGTTTAAATGGTCAACTTTCCAAGGTCACCGGATGTCTCGAATTGAAAAATCCTCTGGTAATATTAGCTTCATCTTCTTTTCTAACACAAGAATAATTAAAACCTTTCACTGTCCATGGCAAACTTTTGGTCAAAATTGTCAAACACGGATATTTCTAAGAAAATATGTTTACAGGCCAAAGATCAGTCACTTATAAGGGCCAGGAAACCACCTTCACCACTTGTTAGTGTAAATGGAACATTCCTCAGTGCTGAATTTCATGACCGTACACATGTACCAACGTTATAGTCACCACACTGCATGAGACTAGACAATCTTCTTAGGTACGTCCTTGGCAACTATGGTCAGGCAGCACGGTACCGATGCTAGATAATATTCCTCTTGCCCGATATTTACTTCGCTGTGTTTATCAGTAAACCTACTTGCAGTTTTGCGTGGCTAGCTAGTTTCAATATGGCATTCGGTGTTCAGTGCGCCCAGAGTGATGATACGATCAGAGCGGACACAATGTTGCAGTAAAATGATATTGCAAAAACTGTACGCGCGAAGGTTAGCGTCACGATCACGAACACTTAACTAAAATTTTGGCGTTCTCTTGTATCTCTGTCTACGTATGAGTGGGCAACGATTTCACGTTTTCGCCAATAAGTCAACTGCGGACACAAACGACCGAGAGCGGCGAATTTTTGCAGCTGCTGGTAGAATGTGCGGCATTTGTCACTGCCATTTGAAAAAAGTTCTCTAACAAGCAAAAAGCATCGAATCTTGTCGTTTTGATAACACACCTCCTTGCAAAACAGTAGCATTGATCAGGAAGAACGAAAAATATTGAAAATGACCATCACGTCAAACACTAAACATTCAAATTGCTTTACTCGCGTGGCTGCTGAAATATCGCAAGTAGTTTATAATTCCTCAATAATTCGATATCGGCGGTAGTCCTTTAGACCGCGCCTCAATATACCCGGATCCCTCATTCCAAAAGCATCCTCAGGTACGTTTGAGACGAAAATGAAACTTCATCCAGTTGCTTTTGAAAAGCACCAAAGTGCAACAGGATTTTCATAAAGGAAACTATTCACAAGGTTGCTGAAATTTCTTCGTCAGCCCACGACAGGTTTCGCCCTTCTTGGGGCTTATCAGGTAGGCGCAGTCCCCGAGTTTCCGTCACCCTTATGTTCTACTTGAACCCAGGATTTTGTTCACGCCTCTTTGCATCGGAAACCGCATTGGTTATGCAGACTGATGACGAAACGCTTGAAAATCAATTGCGAAGCTCACGGAACAGATCAAAAACCGTTCAACCAACTACGCCTCTGGTCGAATGCTGTTTACTAACAATCTTATCATACTGAATATACGCGTATAATAGAATTATATGGCGAGGTCCTTGCCTGAACAACTTGTGGGTTCGGCGACTCAAGACGGACTACCGATATCAGTGGGTTGGGTAGAAATAAAATCGGGGTTACTGGTTCCGTATACAAGCGAGAAAATCGTTCGGAATTCCGATCTTTTGGCCTTTAGGACAATGAGCTGCAGATATGAATAATTAGGCTTTTTCAGCGTGATTTTCTGACAGTACGAAGGATCTGAACGGATGGGTTTTCATCATTTTCTGGGGAAAATTGTTGTGAAAAGAGAGGACCAGGGTAGGCATCAGGCCAAGGGGACTCGTGAATCAAGAAAACTGAATCCATGGACTGTGTTAGTAAGTGAGGGCAGACTGAGGAAGGGACAAAGTTGCTCACGTAACAATGAGCATGAATATTGCAACCTTCAACTAGCTTCACTGTTGTTTTTCTGGGGAACTGCTACCACATTAAGTTATATTTGTTTTTGGAGGGTTCCACAGAATTCCACGTTTATTAGTTGTCTGATTACAACTTGCGTCCAGGATTATATCGCGTGAAAGAGCTAATTAAAAACAACTTTTGGAGCATAGGACTGTTGTTTGGCGTATCACGCGTTTCGTCTTATCATCGGGCATTGGGTGGATGTAGTTAAGGTCACTGCACACGTTCCTGGCTTTGATGTGCAAGTTTCGATCGATGTCTCAGACTGATAGGATTCGAAAGTCCACAAACACATCAACCTTCTAAGTGGGTATTCCGATTAATCATGATTGCTGAAGTCTAAGTAAGCGCAGATTTGTGAACGTATCAATTTANATCTCACCGGGGCGTGTTACTTTCAGCGAAATTTTCCCACTTGGTGACTCAAGCGAATGTATTCGTCGGATCACCGGAGTATTCACTTCTTCGATGAATCTGGTATTTTTTATTGAGGCGTGACAGCTTATTTCACGAATAGCACACATCTTCAGAAGTTTTACTGTCGCACATGAAGGTATACGGTCATTTATTGAACCTTACTAGTAAGTATATCATGCGTTCGTTCGAATTCAACGTAACTTATGAGCCCACAACTTTGAGATACTTTTGAAACCGTGCCTAGTGACCGGCATTTAGAATGCGATCAGACTCCAGAAATCGTTGCTGTTTCAAAACGATGTATACAGAAAAGCGTTTGAATCAATTTCATGACAGACTAACCAGCATCGAGGCGCGCAACCTTATCACATCAACGTAAATCCCTCTAATGATCAGGGAATATAACGACGGTTGTACAAATTCTGTGACACTATTCAAACAACTGACTATGTCTTGGATCAAACATTGTAAATCTGGAAGTTACACGGTGGAGCTTTGGAATGAGAAATCAATTCCAGTGATATCGATCCTAAGTTGGAAGCTGGTACGATTGAGTGCAGTAGGTCCTACTGAGTCCTTTTTACCCAACTGCGTATACTTTCAATGATTGCGGTGTTCCAGAAACTTGCTGGTTTTTAAACTTGCTTGTTTTTGCCTCTCATCTGGAATTATTCGCAATTTTGGTCTATCCCTATTTGCCTTTTATGCAACCATTCTGGGCTACCGCATCAACCTGCTGGCAATAGGATACTGCTGTTTGAATTTGTTTGCTTCGATGTGTCTGTTTTTCTCAATTCTCCAGGTTCAATGCTTGAACTGTGTGGTGAGGTTTTAGTACTCTCAGTCTGCTACGTGCGAGAAGTACTCCAGAGCGAACAACTCTCTCAGAACCGTGAGCATCTCAAAGGTGAGTGTGCTTCTAGTGGGGTGGGCTACTCGATTATGCTTGGTAACCGAAACTCTAGTATACTGCCTCCGGTTAGGCTGAGGGTCACCCTTACAGCATTACGACTTAGTCAATTATTGTTTTATTCACTCCCACCAGTCTTAAATGAACGCAGAGCTCTCCACTAGAATACGATTTTAATTTTTCCCCTGTGTTTCCTGCACTTTACGCTTCTATTCCCCAGCACATTTCGTAATTACTGTGTTTGAAAGGCTGTTACACGGTGACCAACGTAATCGCAAATTTCAAATGAAAGTACACGAGTCTGTGTAATGGGTTGATGAAACAGTAGTGTTGAAAAGTTCGAAGGAAGTCCCGCCAAAAATGTCATGTGACACTTTATGTTAGGCAGTGGACTTGTGTGAGCGAGTGAACGCACGTCGGTTTGACAAGGATGTCAACCAGCACAGTCGGCAGAGTTAGCGAAAATGCATTGATATGTAATCACCTTTGACAGAAGTCATCTATCGGCACTTGAGACACAGACAGATCCCAACACGAGACATCATTGGGAGGCTTTGATTCTACATGGATGTCCCCACTCACATAGATGAATAAAGCCAACTCTAATGTACAAAAGACACTGAAGCATCAGCGTTAGGACTGATGTTGAACCTTACGATGACGAGCTGTAACTTGGTGAATGAGATGTGAGACTTCAAACTTAACACACTACTCATAATGTAGCTGAAAGCTCTTCGACAACCCACGACCGGTTTCGTTATTCTTGGGGTTCATCAGATCCCAAGAAAAGCGAATCTATTCGTGGGCTTTCGATGAGTAGAGTGTTACATCTGGACAACAACGTATTGCGCTATCTCAACTATAGTACCAACTATACATGAGGCGGCCTGGTGCAGCATTAACGGGGGATTCGCCTGGATTTACTTGTGTCTTCTGTCAATACCATATTCGTGTGCAGATGGGAGTATGTATGACGAATTCAATACAAAACTAATATGATTGATAAAATTCCTTTGCAAATTTTACCGTAAAATTGCCGATTTATCTAAATTGTGGTGACTCTTCGCTGACTTCCACCTATGAACGCACAACCGATAATCCAGTCCGATTTGATGATTCGGTGGCATGCGGCGTGGTATGGTCCCATCCTCGAATGCTCCAAGTGACACTAAATGAAAAATATACATAACGTGTCGGATATCCCGACCTAAAGTTGCCGCCTTGTTGTGGTGCCCTGGCTTAAGTGCTGCAATTATCTCGCAGCTACACTGGCTGGAATTTCGTTCTACAAGGTGCGACCATGCTAGGAAGGCCAAAGGGGAGAAGCGAGACCCCGTACTACGAGTAATCGTGCTAGGAGGCGGTCTGGGGGTAAAGTCGTACAGCCCTCTGCTATAGGAGTGTGAGGGCAGTAAGGCGACGAGCATGTCCATATTCATGGAAGCAGCGATGATGCCTTCCCCCGAGTGAGGACGGGTTAGAAAAGGCGAGCCCCAAAAGCTGCACATTCTAATCGCCCAACAGTTGACCGTAACGGCTGGCCCATTGTTCAAGACGGTCGAAATACTTTTGGAACCAAAGAGTTCGGTGCTGCTCAAAATGCACTTGGTGTGCGCAGCCGCATCAAGAGTGAGACAATAACTCCATACTTCCTACGGGTTAGACCAACCCGCTTTCGCCGAGCAGGTCAGATTATTGGGTCATCGGTTCCGGGCAGGATCACCCAAGAATACCTTAACAACTGCTGCACCGCGGGTCAGACTTTTGAGTTAGAGGCTAGGGGCAGTGTCCCCGAACAAAATCCTACATACTCACACTGCCTTGTAGGTCAAACTTCAAAGGTTCAAGGTGGGGTACTTCAACTAAACCCCCTTCCTCGGCTTGAGCGACCGGGAAGTATCATTTGTCCGCACAGTTCTGTGTCCCGTGATAAACCTCCTCAACCCCTTCCCATCAAACAAGCAAAGGTCACTGAGACACTTGACTGTCAGTTATCTGATCGAATGGCCTTATAGGTCACTGAGACACTTGACTGTCAGTTCCCTGATCGAATGGCCTTATGCTCCTCGCTGCCTTTTACCAATAAACAAAATAACACCCCTTCTAAATCACGATATCCTTTCTACATCTCAGAAGGCCAAGTATGAACTCGCCTCTTTCACATTTCTCCCTCCGTGTGTCCGGTGACCCAGAATCGATGACTCGTGGAATATATGGCGTGGAAGTTGCACTCAGTCCCAGAGTTGAACACGCTTTGTTGAATTGGATCCCAGTGAACGGTCATCTTTGCCCCGTCCGATTATCCAGCTCAATTAAGCTCAATATCTCTCGGCATGAAAAGCGGCGTCTGTTTGTAGTATCCGCTTATTCCCCAACGGACTGCAGTTCTGATGCTGATACTTTCGAGAGCTGTCCGGGCTCATTCACCAAGCAAAAAGGCACTCACATTGTGATCTTTGCTGGCGATTTGAATGCTCAAGTAGGTCGTCTGAGCGCCTTGGAATCACATTTGGGCGGTCGATTAGGAGCCGATTCACGTTGCACAGACAACAGAGGTAGACTCCTTCATTTCTGTGCTCATCATCAACTGTTTCTGGCAGCGGCACAGCTGCCTTCCCAGTCTTCCCAATTAAACGTCCTCTGACAGATCGGTCCTTACGCACCAATTTATCATCTCCCGCCCCCGACGCGCAACTGCCTACCCCACCTTCCCAAATTATTGGTGGACAACACTGGCAGCCACATCCACTGCACGACAAGTACGCGGTTCTTACAGCTTATAGTAATAAAGATGGTCATCATCACAACGGGCATTTGGGTCAAAAACGATTCCACTGTCAGTCAGCTTCACCAAACGTCTTCAATTCCGTGTATGAGCTATTGCTTTTGTGCAGGTATATGGGGTAAACCGTCGATGTTGTACTGCAGGACCAGCAAGAATGGAAACTAGAGTACCCTTTTTCGTGGACTGGTTAGTCCGAATACTAGCGAGTTCAGTGAATTGCTAATCCAAAATCGCTGTCACAGTAAAAAAGGAACAACGATACTGACCTGTTTTTTCGCTGATGTGTTAAGATGATCACCTCGAAGTATCATCTATCGTGCCTACGCCGCCAGTGCGAACAGTCGGTTCGCATCAAGTTACATGTTCCAAAAGGCATATCCACGAATCGCACTGTTGGTTTGATTGAACGGTCTACGGATATCCCGTAGACCATCCGTATCCCAAATGGCATCTCGCTAGCATCGTATCCCCCTAGCAACACGTAGGTCAACACGCTCTGGCGGCCATGCCCTAACGGTAACCTCTTTCAGCTGGTCGCTACCGACCAGTCAGAACAATGAAACGGTTCTTGTTCCATCCCGAGGAAGGAATTTTACGAGGCAAAAAATACTGTAACACGATTGTTCTTTGCATGCGAATGCGAATATTGTCCCTCTACTGTGTCCAACACATGCCTACCCTGGGTACACAACCTCAGTGATGCGTGATGTCCATAGTTGATCTGATGGTGTTCTTACTTTTATCTTCAGATTGAAGTTTCTCCCGATCGACAGATTGTTTTCTAATTAACTGCACCATGTTGCTGAAAGTCATTGTGCCTGAATTATTGAAATCGTCCGAGTGAATGAGGTACGACAACCTGTGTTCAAACCCTATGCAGGCACTGCCGGACGATCTGATCACATTTCGTTATACAAATAAAAATGTAGGAAGGCACGTTTTCTCCATTTTATGAATTCACGATTCGGGTCGAATTTCTTGGGTTCATAGGACAACAAGAACAATTTTGGCCTATCACACTATATTTGCATGTCCGATGAACAGGATGTATCATATGCATGTGTGCTTACTTGGATAAAAATAAAGAAGACTTGAAGTAATAAGTACGATGAGGAACTGCAATATAGAAACCGAGTGTCGTACTTAGTCCATCGGGTTCATCAAGTGCAACTGTTCGGGTGGGCGCAGTATTTGGCTTAAGACAATACTATATAGATCAAGGGCTGGGAAACTTGAGGCTGAGATTTAGCGATAATTCGTTGTAAGCATCCAGCTTTTCCCTGAATTCCCGTAACTGACCCCGAGAAGTTTCACAACGGATTGTGTGTTCTCTTTCTGTGCAGGTTCAACGACTTTTTTGTGAAGTCCACAAACGTTTTTTGCCTCAATCTTCCATTCTTTTGCAGCCCGTTTGATGTCACAACTCAACTCTTATGTTCCCGTTCTTCAAGAGCGGTTTGAAAATAGTGAAGATTCCAGCTCTACACTCTCCAGACTGACCCAAGGTAAGCGTGTTTGAAGCGTGTGATGCTTGTGAGCACAAAGATCGTCTGAATACCGAGGGTAAAATGGAGAGTATACTTTGACACTTTGATATAAAACAAGGTGTACATTTGAAGTCCAGTGTATAAGAAACGAGTCGCTGAGCCGTTCAACACTGTCGTACGAATGCTCACAAATGCTGGTTAGGTGCTTTCTGGAATCAAATTCCTGTTCATTCCTCTGTATGTCGGGTGAAAGTTGGCTTTAGTCTGTCTTCTGAGGCTCGGACAGCAGATGGAATTAGGGCATCAAGGCCGGAAAAAGTTGACCAAGACCCTAATACTCCTGAAAACTCTTCGAGAGCCCACGATCGGTTCCGCCCTTCTTGGAGTTCATCAGGTAGGCACAGTCCCAGAACCTCTGTCAAACTCAAACTGCACAGAACTATCGGACTACACTCGTTTGCATACCGATTTGGTTTTGAAGGGAGATCCACCTGGAAACCGCGTGGATCTCTCGTTTATGGTATTATTAAGCTTGAAAATTCAACTGGGTCCCAGGCGAGTCTCCCGTCAAAACCAAATTAGTATGCGAATGGGCGTACTTCGTCAATTAGGACTGTCAATGTACCTCAGCAGAATGGTTTGTATGTTGGGGTGATTACTGGGTGCTTACTTTCATGTGCCCTGCATAAATACGTTGAATTTTGCTTATCCTGTATTTTTGCAATTCGTTACGTAGGTTTGCACTCGGCTGTTGCATGCATCATACCCTCAACGTGCCAAGTGGCTTAGTTTATTTTATGCTTCATGGTTGGATTGAAAGGATTCAGCTGTAATACTGTTGGTTTACAGACACATTTTGTATAAAGTATCGTTCCTCACTGAGGGACAATTTCACCGTTCCCCGTAGGTTCGTTACTAAAACTCCCATACCACTTTGAGACACCTCTAAGATGCTGCTCTCGTCGCCTTACTTTGCGTTACTTCTAATCGAGCGAGATGATGAAGAGGTTCTAATATCCAGTTTTTTTTAACTAAATGCAATAATGTCGACAGAAGATCCTTGCTTATGATTGATCGTCAACTGGGCCATGAAGTTGTTGAGGCAAAGATAACGAGCTGGTTCGCAAAACGTGACCGGTCACTCTGATAATTGCCCATTGTAACAAGATGGATGGTCGTATACATCAGTAAACGATCTTCGGTTTCCAAAAGTGACTTCGAATGAAAGTCTAATAGCCCCGTGGTGACTGAATGATGGATGTGCACTCTGAGTCGATTCGACTAGCGAACACGAGCAGAAGACAAACCACAAAAGAACTTAACAAATCATTAAAACCGTCGACAGGGTTTGCTTTGATAAGCTTACTCTAGTAAAGTCGTTTGGACGTTAGTTTTCTTCTCCTCGTCATTTTCGTCCTGCGGCTTTGCGTTAGGTTTCTTCGGAGCGTTAAGGAAAACGTTTCGTTTTTTTGCGACACCTAAATATAAGGACCAACTAGCCGAGTGTGAAGTGGCTCTGAAGACAGTAAAGAGAAGCTGTTCAGGAATACGCCCGAAAAACTGTCTTGGAATAGGAACTGCTTATGCGGAAATAGTTCGGTTATCGTCGAAGAGTCTGAGCTGCTACAGAATTTCAATAGCTCGGTTGGCTACCTTAGTTGTTGACAGTCGGTTGGGAAACGTTTCATGTCCAATCGAGAAAGATTTGTCATTCGGCCACCGGGTGGGTGTTTCCTCTTCACCTGCTTGCGTTTACATAGTTCACTCTACAACGTGATTGGACTCCAAGAAGATCGATTTTCCCGATGACCCGTTGCGCTGTGCTGCGGTCAGTCACAAACGGAATGCGTATTGTCTTTGCTTTGGACGTTGGCCTCTAAGCCAACCACGGACCCACCACTACACTCCACCACGCAGTCTAACAGCGCACTGATAATGTCACCTCGATTGGTGATAAAACCTGTAAAAACAATTACGTGCGCACAGAAACAAATATTTTGACAATTAAGTTATCCAGTGAGGCATTGTCCCTGAGCCTTTGTCTCTTAACTGCAGACAATCCGCGATATAGCGAAATGCACTCATTTGCAAACTAATTTTGTTTTGCAAGAAACTTACCTGAAACCCAGCTGAATTTCTCGTTTGTGATGTTTCCATGCAACTGAATGTGCTGCACCAGGTCGCCTCATGTTTCCGTCGCTACGATATTCGAAATATCGTGATACATGTATATTCGTAATGTACTGCTCATAAGGTTGTCGACGAGTCCGCGATATACGTAACTCATTCCGCGCTCCTTCAACATCTCCGTGTTTGGCAGTTACGACTTATGGATCTAGTGAGTGTTGATAATACTGACCAACCAGTCGACAGTACGATAGCCGCTGTTGCAAAATTTCCACCATGAAGCATGCTGCCATCATCCGAACAGTTTTGCATACCTGATCAATCAAGAGTTTGGTGATAATGCCTTATAATTTTTATTGTTTGAGAGGGATGGCGCGCATCGATTGCCAACTAATCAACCACCAGATGGCTGCTGCTTTTGTTCTGTTTCGAGGAAGCCTCTTGCACAGAAATCATTCCCAGTCAAAGGGAATATTGAATGCTCAATTTGCATTGCTGGGCGTTGATTTGTGAACAAGCAAATCTCCTAGCTCAGTGAACCAATCAACAAACAGCATCTGGGGTTTATCGTAGTTGATGAGCCACCATGTTGACACAAAGCCTTGAATTCTCCTCATGATAGTTTTTTTATGTTGTCTGAGAGTCTGTTTGTAGCGAATGAACTTTTTATTTCACAGTCGCCTAGACCTTTGTCAAGTTCCGATTTGAAGAGTTCACTTGGCTCAGTAATTGATTGATTAATCTAGTTTTAGTGCATGGCTGTTTGAGAATCTTTTGTCTGGAAGCTTCTATCAGAGTAGAGGAAAAAAGGTTCGGAATTGGTTACCTATGATCCAATTCAGGCAATATGAATGTCATGATAAATTGCATTGCTCGATGTCTCTCTTCTGTTTTGTTTTCTAATTGAATAGCGCTGACGGAGCTGTGCTCCGTGGATCCGTCGTTTCAACCTGTATTGGGAAAAAAAACTGTTTGTGGCTGACCTGAAAACCTCACACTATTTTGTACATGACTGTCCAGTTGTAAAATATATCGTCTTTTATATTCTTTCGTGATCAGTTTCCTCCATTATGGGGACTCCGTGAACGAAGCTTGTAGCGAGGCCTTTCCTGTGCATAAGAAAACCATGAGGCAGACTCGCAGATCAGTGGACACGCCGACGAGGTCACATAGCTTTGTTTCTGGCTTATGATTTACTGAGATTCCATGTGATACACTACCAGTTAGAGTTGCATAATTCACTCTCGTCCTACTTAGCTGACTCGCCATTTGCTAGGAATGCCCTCCCACACATTATACCGAATTGGTCTAGTTGACGTCTAAACGGTATCCCTCCGTTCACGACATGTTCTGCCCAGTCCACCGTGCAGGCAAGCGCTGAACTCGAATCTCACCTTTAGGAGAGCCATTCGAACAGGTGAATAAGAGTGCCGGATCTTCTTTGATTGTGACGGGAACGAGAGTGGACTTTATTTTGACAGCACTGTATGTTAGCTTGAGAGATACTTGTAAAAACGATTTGATAAGTGTGAAGTTACTGTCACCTCTATAACTGGTAAGTACGGATAGATTAATTTCGGCTGGACATTTAAGGTAACACGATAGGCCTGTTTAGATCTCGACCACTTTCCCACTCATCATGCTGGACACCCATTTTCCGGNTAAGAGTGCCGGATCTTCTTTGATTGTGACGGGAACGAGGGTGGACTTTATTTTGGCAGCACTGTATATTAGCTTGAGAGATATTTGTAAAAATGATTTGATAAGTGTGAAGCTACTGTCACCTCTATAACTGGTAAGTACGGATAGATTAATTTCGGCTGGGAC